AAAGTTGCTAAGAGGACTGGAGCATCTCCCCTATGAAGACAGGCTGAGGGAGTTGGGGCTGTTCAGCCTGGAGAAGAGAAGACTGAGTGGGGACTTCAGAGCAACTTTTCAATCTCTGAAGGGCCTACAAGGGAGTCGGAGAGGGACTCTGTGTTAGGAACTGCAATGACAGGACAAGGGGTAACGGGTTCAAACTGAAGAAGGGGAAGTTTATAGTAAAAAACCTTTTCCTAATAAGGGTGGTGAGACACTGGCACAGGTTGCCCGAGGACATGGTGGCTGCCCCGACCCTGGTGGTGTTCAAGGCTAGGCTGAATGAGGCCTTGAGCAACCTGATCTAATGAGGAGGTGTCCCTGCCCATAGCAGGAGGAGTTGGGACTACATGACCTGTAAGGTCCATTCCAACCTTTAAGTTCTATGATTCAAGATGTAAAGAACAAAGTTCACATGCAGAGCTCTGAAAAAGGATTTCACATCCTTTTCAGTCCAGAAGTGATGTCATGCTGTCAAAATTCAGAAGAATTCCAGCTGCAAGGATGAAAGCATGGGAGCATATCTGCCACTGCCACAGCAGAAAATCCACTCAAGTTAACTGAATGCAATACCAGCAGACCAAGTCTGTCAAGCTCTGCAGTAGATGGAAGCTTGAGCAGAAAGGTTTTAGCATAGGTTTTAATATGGATTCCACATATAATGCAAACACATCCACAGTTGCTCCCCAGTCTTTCCACACTTCATCTTAACTATCACAACTAATTTACAGGTAATACTAACCACAAAGTCACTTAAAATATTTTAGATCTAACAGTTGAATGCTATCATTAAATTCATGTATAGTCAATGCTATAAAACACAGGAGTCATCATCTTATATGTGCAGATTCAAATTATGCAAAACTGAAGTCCCATTACTTATCCTCAAATAAAGTTTGTCAGACAGCAGAGACTAGGGCAGCTTTTGGCTGGGTATACTATTAGTATATGAAGAGTGAAAGAGCAGGCCAGAATTAGCTAAAAATTTAATGGCTCTTTAATGAAGAGATTGCAAGAATTACATGCTGAAGTGAAATAGTCTTCACTCTACAGGCTTTCAATAGGTATGCATGCCTAGTTGTGGCATTTACAGCTAGCAAATATTATCCTAGCATAACTCATAGAAAAATGCCAAACTGCAGCAACAGCCTTCAATAACAGGGCAAAGTAATTTGTACAAAGACAGAAAGATAACTATCAAATAATCTTACAAAAAACAACACAAAGATGACCACTAATCCTTTACAATAAAGTACACAAAAGATTAAATAGCTGATGGTTAGAAGTATTTACAAATAACAGAAAAATGGAGAACCCAATTATGCCTTTGACCTTGAGATTTCACAGTCATTCTAATGACAGGACTGCTTTAAAGATAGATAAAACACAGCCAAATCACACAGACTAGAGTGATGTTAAACATTAGCAATGGGGAGTTAATTTCCTAGTTTTGTTACAATCAGCACAAAAGGGGAAATACACTTTTCAGGAATAATAACATGAAAGGGGCAAACTTCTGTTCTGAAAAAAGCATAAAACACTGACCCAAAACACTTTCATTAAAGAAAGGGGGTGAGAAAGGAGCAAGAGAACATACTCCAACCTCCTAAACATTACAAGTGCAAGGCAGAACTTCCACCCACTGAGTTACGTTGTGTAACTGAATTTTTTTAAAAGATGTGAAAAAGCACTCAAGTCAGCTGAAACGAAACTGCCACTTCTGCCAGGCAGGAACTGTTTATAGAACATTAGCCAAAGATAGTGCATATTTTTTGGTTTGTTTTTGAAACTTAAATTCCCATCTGACTAAGGTCCACATAATACTTAAACTTTCAAAATTCTAACATTTCAATGCTTTCTTCACAAAATAGTGGAACACAAACTCTGCAGCACTCTGATACATGTGTAAATTTGAACATACAACTAAACCACAACTAAACTACTCCTCAGCAAAAATAAATGTGTGTGTTAGTCAAGATTAATATGAACTGCAAATTTCCACAGCAGTAAAACTGGGGGGGTTCTATTTTAAATTCAACCACTGTACAACTTGTTTATAATTATTGGACAAGGTGCTATAGGTTCAAAGAATTAGCTAACCTTTCCAAGAGACACTAAGCAAATTCTTGCTCTTTACTTTCTTGTACTCCTTACAAAACTGTGATGCTAATACCAAGAAAGCATTTTCCTGATCATTACTACTGAAATATGTTCTAAAAACCTTACCTCAGCTATTTTTGGAGGAGAACTGGTAGCAGGAGCACTTTCTGGCTTCGGAATGCTATCAATGAGTTCCAAGATACTTTTCAGCTTCTGGTCTGATATTTGGATAGAAAGTAAAGGCAGCTGTCCAGACAGTTTGAACCTGTTTTGTAAATAAAGGCAAAACTTTCAAAGTTACAACAATCAATTTTAAAACTACTTCAAACTTCATGCTAACTTTCTTCTCAAAAACACACAAGTCTTGTTGGTTAGAAAATCACTCAACTAACCACTGCATATTTATATATATAAAAAAATATCTATATACATATATATACACACATATATGCACATATGTAACTTCTGTTGCACACAGGAAGAGCTACTCAAGCAGCTAATACCCAGTTGTTAACATATTGGTATTTCCATTTGATACAAAGTCTTGTGGATCAGGACTACAAACAGAACTAATAACCACTTCTGATTTGGCTACATTAAGCAGATTTTCCTCACAATGAAAACTTTTCCCCCCTCCTTATGCATTTAACTTACTTACTTATAATAAATCACGTAACTGAGCCTTTACACAGTATTTTACAGAAAACAAGGTGGAGACTTTTTTTGCATGTTTACAGGCTGAAACGTCAAGAAAAGCATACAAAAATGTTTCCCAGAAGTTAGGTATATTTAAACTGGCTCTAGAAGTAGTCTAGATATTTAACAAAAGACTAAATGACATCGCTATAAAGGATATAAAAGGATAAAACAGTAATCTTCAGAAATTAAAGCAGTAGAACATATTTTAAGCCTATTTGAATATGCTTTGGCCAAAGAGAAGTAGAATCACTTCAAACAAACTCCTAAAACCCAGCTGAGTTTGTCACAGGTGTGAGTACAACACAAATAAGAAGAAAACTAGTTCAAAGGACATTATTGTGCTTTTATTATGACTTCGAGTTAGAACAGATGAAGAGGTTTGTTCAACAGCTCAACTGTCTCCAGCAACAGGCAGCTGCAGAGCCTTAACATGACAGGTGTAAGGAACAAGACAAGCTATTTCCTCCCAGTTTTGATGTGCTTAATTTGCATCTCAATCTTCGAAGGTACATAAAATGTAAGACTGGAGAAGATGTGAGGCACGTAACATTTTCAATCATCCTCCACTAACTCTAAGACTATGAGAATAACTCAAAAAACAGTTCCTTATACTTGAGCAAGCCAAGCACAAAGTCAGACATAAAAACTGCATCCAGTTTTCTCCAACTTATGAATTGCTCCAGATCCATAAATTCTTACCGGATTAATTCTCAGCTACATTTGATTTTTATTCTTAATTCCAGTTCCTCCAGAGAGAAATTTAGCTTTTTTTTCTTATAATGGAGAGGGCTGGGGTAGATGTTTAGCTCCTGAACTAAAGGGACCTCTCCCTCTACTGCTCAAGTGCTCTAGCAATTGAGGACACTTAGCAATTCTCACTTCCACTGTACTTAAACCTCCCTACAAAAATGTATATTGTCAAGAGGTTTTTGACCAATGTTTCTATAACTGACAGCACAAGTACTTAGAAAGAGGGCACTTAGCAGATACTACACAGATAACTGCAAATAATGCCAGCTCTCTATGCTGCTCTTTGAACAAAAGCTTTTAAGGTTCAGAAAACATCTGGAAATGGAATATAATTACTCCCTGTGTGTAGAAACTGATGCATGGAGGAGCTAAGTGCTTCAACTGGCAAGGAAATCTGTGCAGAAAATTATTTCAAGTTCACTGTTGTATTTAGAGAGGGAAAAATGTTAGTGCCACTGCCAAAGTTGCAAGTAAGTACATTCCTTCACATTGGAATTTTTACTGTGTTTTTAATGAATGCTGTTATACAGCAGGATGCTCTTAATATTGCTATCCTAATACCAGCTTCATACACCTTCAAAAACCATATGACAGACACCCAGACACCTCCTTCAGAAGACGGGGAACCATATGATGGGATAAAACAATCACTAAAAAAAAAAAATCCCAAAAATATACACAGGCTAGAAAGCTACAGAATCATACTTGTGCTTCCAAATGTTAAGTGACAGAAACTCTAAGGAGCATCCTATTACCAGAAATTAAAGGCAGATATTCAGATACAACCAGAGTGAAAGTCCATTTTACAGATTAGGAAACACGATCAGATGAACATACAGGTTAACAGTGAAAGGCTCTTGATATAGTGGTCAACAACAAACTAAAATTACCTTAATTAGTATTCTCTTCAAGGCAGCAATATAGAAATGTGCCTTCTTAAACAAAGCCCGCACAAAGCCCTGGTAAATTCCTTACTGCTTTGAACCACAAAAAACACAAGGAATTCAACCGGATTCAATGGTCCTCCAAGGACATACAAACATCAAAGAAACAAAAAAATAAAGACACCAAACAGTCTGCATTTTAGATAACTAAATGTAAAACAGGTGCCCTCCAAGCAAAGGGATTCATTCGTAAAATTCTACTACAGTAAACAAAAAAATTCTGGTATTAGTTTTTGCTGGAGAATTAACACCTTTCCACTCACTCTTCTCATCAGAATTAGCTGCTCTACGCAAACAGTTCCAAATACTAATGAAAAAAGCTCTGGAAAAATATAATGCTGGACTTATGTGACAGCATACTTACAAGAATTGGAATATAAAGTAATTGCTACATGTATGCTAAAAATTCATTTATATATAACTGATGTAAGAAATACTGATGCATAATGCCCTGTTCAACTATAGTTACTAAAATTGACAGTTTAGGAGATTCCTAAAAAATCCATCAGTTAACTTTTATCATTTGTACACAATGTCAGCTAGAGATCACACGGGCCTAAATCACAGCATCATAAATATTGTAAACATCTGTACATAAACACACATCAACAGAACATTCTTAAAAACAACAATAGATGATGCAGTGGCAATAAAAGATTTGGCATACAAAGTCCTACTGATACTGATAGTTTGGGAGTCAAAGCTAGACACCAACAGAAAACAGAATATCTGTAGTTTTAATTGATTTGGGAGATGTAAAGAAAGGTCAAATTTCCATCATGAGATAAAAAGTTGCTCTACAAGCTGGAGAATTGTAATACTATCTGCAGAATACATCCTGGAAGCCTTTGGAGACTGAACCAGGTGCAAAACAAACATATTCAGCTCTTGTTGAGTCATGGTATCAACATCATAGATTTGAAATGGCTACTTGCTCTTGGTGCAGGTTAAAGTATTAGTTATGATTATTAACTCAGTGTGGCATATGTTTGTCTAACACAAAATGCTGTCCATGTCATTCCTAATGGTTTTAGACAGTGCAGAAAGAAGAGCACGTTCTTTCCAAGAAATACTACTATCTCCATGGAAGGATAATCTATCATTTCGAGACACAGGCAGAAGCTATTTACTGTTAAGTAAGTGGTTGTTCATTACAGAAGAATTTCCCACAATCCATCTAAACACATGAACTGCCAAAAGGAAAAGCACATCTGGTTGCCAAGACATTCAAAGAGGTAGTATTACAATACTGCAGCAGGTGTTCTCATTAAGAGCTGACACTCCTTAAGCCAGGTTATACTTGCATAACTTTGAGAGATGTCACTCATAAACCTACATTAAAATTACAGAAACAAATATCACTTCCTAACATAAGAAGACTGCTGTGACTTGCATTTCCCATATGTGACCTTCAACAAACAGAAAAAAAAGTAAGGAGGGAAAGCATCAAATGCTTTGTAAAGTCCATCAAAATCCATGATCTGGCCCCACAGATTTCCAGAAGGTGGCAGCATTACACCATGCGATCACCGATCATTATTATTAGCAATATTCCTTTTCTGCTGATTAAGTACAGTTTCCATAAACAACAGACTTTGCTACATAAGCCTACGTGCAAACTCAATGCATTAAGAGCTGTTTCCCTGAGAAGTGATCCCTAGCAGCTAAACGAACAAGAGGAATAACCTAAGTCAAAGAGAGGGAATATTACAGCACATTACTTTTCAGAGTATTTTTTGATGTTTATAAAAGAGACTTTCTAAGCTCTTTAGTTCCTCAGTATTTTCAATGTGAACTGAATGTAGCTATTAGAAAGACCCAAACAGAACAGGTAATAATGTATTTAATGAAAATTTTTACATTACACATACTACTTCTATAATAATGTAACATTCTATTGCCTTTTCAATACCTGCAAACTTCTTGGATTTATTCTCTATTTTTCTAGTAGAAGTATTTTACTTGCAAGATTCACACATGGCCAGTGTAAAACAGCATAGGTAAAATTAGATCCTTTTCTTTTTTCCCCCCTAAAAAAAGCCATTTACCATAAAATTTCAAATTGTAAAAAACACATACTTGGGCATTCTTGCATCTGTAACAACCATAGCCCTGCTAAATTCCACGTTTACATCCAAGGGCTGCAAGACACATAGAGATGAGTCTTTCAGCTTCCGAGCTTCTTGCCAGTTCTCATCTAGAAGTGGAAAGAATACCTACAGTTTAGACACTGAGAAAGATTTCTTCTCATTAAACATATTGCAGAATTAAAGCATCTGATGTTAGTATGTATTGCTAAACATTCAGATGACAGGATCACTTCTACAGCTCTATCAACAGATGTCTATTATACAAGACATGCACTTCAGATATAGAAGATGACCGAATAATTTCTCCAGTTGATATCTAAACAGCAACCCCTCTCCATGCTGCAGATTTCTAAGGGCTCAATTCTTAACATGCATGGTACTGGGAGTTTAGGCTCTGAATCCTCCCCTGGAACCAGAGGATGACATATTAAATGCTTAAAGAGTTCTCTGATTATGATTGCCAGTTCCCAAACTATTAGAGTTTCCTTCCATACCTTAATGAAGTAAATTGATTCTGATCTTTTCTTTACCCTTACAAAATGGCCAAACCTATAACTACTTGTGGAGTCTGCTCTAAATTTAGATGGTAGGAAAGAAAAGGCACAAAGGAAAATACCATAAACAAATTCACTACAGTCTTACATTTATTAGACAACGAATCAAATGAGATGTCTTAAAAAATAAGGGATTTTACAGTACATTTGCTTATTTAGCAAAAGCTAGGAGAAGAATCAAAGTCCTAAAGGTATGTTTTGGAATTTCATATGTGCTCATATGAATGGAATGTGCTCATAGTACTGAGCTTAGAACATGAGTTTTAAGATACATGTTCCAAAGATTCTTCACAGCTCCAGTTAAAAATATCATATGCACAACAACAACCACAACATATTTACTCTTACAATGAAAGATCACTTTCATGAATGCTTACCATGTTTGCTGTACAGTAACTGTATACTGCTGAGCTGGACATCAAAACTGTCATAAGCTCTTGACATTATATCTTCAATAGTGCTTTGTCCCACTTTGAGTTTCGATAAATCAGAACGACTTTTGCTTGTCATCTTAAAACAGTCACAAAAAAAACCAAACCATCAATCGATTTCAAAAATACTAGGTCTACAAGCACCTGTTCCTACCATGACAACAGATTAAATCTAAGTCCTAACTATAAGGGCATAGAGTCTTGTAACTGTCAGAGCATAGGAGAGATCTAAAATTAGTAGCCTGCATCAAAATTAAAAAGTGAAAGTATAAAACTCCATTTCTTCTTCAAGGAAAGAAACAAAAGAAAAAATTAACACATGAAGCTTTCTACAATTATATACAAGTAAGACACTGAGGTGCTGGATTGTGTCCAGAGAAGGACAATAGATCTGAGGAAGGGTCTGGAGAACAAGTCCTACGAGGAATGCCTGAGGGAGCTGAGGGTGTTTAGCCTGGAGAGAAGGAAGCTGAAGGGGGGGACCACAACACTACCTGGAAGGATGGTGTAGCCAGGTGGGAAATGGGTCTCTTCACCCAAATAACAAGCAATTAAACATAAGTTAACAGCTTCAAGTTGTGCCAGAGGAGGTTTAGATTGGATACTAGGAAAAATTTCTTCATTGATCCTGGAGGAATTTTAAAAGCCGTGTAGATGTGGCACATAGGGACATGGATTAGTAGTAGACATGGCAGTGTTAGGTTAACAGTTGGACTCAAGGATCTGAAAGGTCTTCTTCAATCTATGTGATTCTATAACTCTGTGATCAGTGCAGGCTTGTGCTGGTGGAATTGAGAGTCACCCTACAGAGCAGGATCAGGGGTACTGGTGGATGAAAAGCTCAACACAACTCAGCAGTGTGTGCTTACAGCCCATAAAACCAACCATATCCTGCACTCCATCAAAATAAGTGTGTCCAGCAAGTTGAGGGTGGTGATTCTCCCCCTCTGTTCTGCTCTCATGGTACCACACCTGGAGTACTGCAACCTGATGGAGCAGGTCCAGAGAAGGGTCACAAAAACGATCAGAGGGACAGAACACCTATCCTCTGAAAAAGGTCTGAGGCAGTTGAAGTTGTTCAGCTTGAAAAAGAGAAGGCTCTGAGGAGACATTAACAGCAGTCTTTCAGTACTTAAAGTGGGCTTACAAGAAAGACGGGGACAGATTGTTTGGCACGACCTGTTGTGACACGAGAAGGACTAAATGTTTTTAAACTAAAAGAGGGTACATTTAGACTAACTATAAGGAAGTTCTTAGAATGAGGGCAGTGAGACACATGCACAGGCTGTCAAGAGGCAGTGGATGCCCCATCAGCTGAGAGCACTCAAGGTCAGCTGAGAGCATTCAAGGTCATGGATGGGGATTGGAGCAACCTAATCTAGTTGAGATGTCCCTGCTCATTGCAAGGGGGTTGGACTACATGACCTTTAAAGGTCCTTTCCATTCTATATCATTCTATAATTCTGAGCAGTTACAAAGTCAGACCGTGGAAAAGGCAGAAAACTTAACTCTCTTTAACAATATTTCCAGATTTGAAAAAAATCTTATTAAAATAGCAGGTAAGGCAATGTAAACAGCTAAGTAAGTGGCAGATAGTACAAATTAAAACAAAATTAAACTGTCTGTATACATGTACCATCATTTATAATGAAAGAACACAAGCTCACTGATAAGTAAGAAGACTGCTAGTAATATGGAGAAAGTCGCTTCTATGGCTTTATAGTGCTAAATTATAATTTTAATTTAACTATTACCTTTTTCACTTTTCCCTTGCAAGAAGAATCTCAAACATATCTCCAACTATATCCAGATTATTTTATAAATTGCCAATAGATTTACCTTTTTCATTTTAAACTCAATGGCCAAAACGTTGTTAATAATAAGAATAATACCATTTAATCATATACGTTAGTTCACTACCCTATATTTTAAGGCAAAAAAAAGTTAGACATTTTCCACGTAAGAGTTCAAACATCAACAGTAGTTCATGCCAGGTGAGGATTGTTTTCTAACAATTTCTTTGGGTAGAAAGAAACTCCTGAGAAGAGTTCAGTGATTTGTGCCTTGATTGGAAAGCAGTTTAAAATAAGTATCTAACACACAAACTACAAGAGGTATTTTTACTTAATCTGTACCTTAAAACACAAATTAAGAAACTGGAGCCCATGTAAGAACTGAACTATCATTTTCAGGAAGTTTCTGCATTAGGTAAATACATACTTTAAGACTACCAAGATCCAGAACCAGTAGATTTGACTTATGGTCATAGAACCCATTTTGTGGAACGATGATATATGAAGCCATGAGGTTAATTTTGAGGTCCAGAACTTTCTGGGTTTCAATAACATACAGCAAACCTGAAAAACAGTGTAATTAGTAAACATAAACAAAGTAACCCGTAGAAGAGCTATAGCATTAAAAAAGGCATAAAAAGAAATTCAGGTCTAACTCTAAATGAACTGAGAGTGCTAGATCACTAAGTTTAACTGCAGGTACAGATGCTTTTCAGATATCTTCAGAACCAATAATTATAGGTGGTCCTTGATGAAGCACCAAGTAGATGAAATCATAATACCAAACAAAGCTTACAGACAGCAACACAACACATGCAAACACAAAAAAAGTTTCATACTGAGCAGAGATGCAGTGAGAAGAAGTGGAATGTGAACTGCCACTTTGCAATTACCGAGCTAACCCACTGTGCTCTGCAGGTTCAGAAATCTAATTGTTCTAGGAATTCTTTTTGGGAGTATCCAACTGCAGTGGTCAAACTGCTGCGTCCGAGACAGAAATCTACACTGACTCTGCTGGTAAGCATTTCCATCCTGAGCCACTGAAAATCAGCCAATATATTATCTTACAAAAATTATGTTTAAAAATCATGCAATTAGTTGAGAAATTCAGACTGTCAGAACATTTGAGATCAAATTCTGCTTTTCTGATTATCTGAGGAGGAATGAATGGCCTTGCTTTGGGTTAGCACTGAAAATTGCCTTAGGATGCAGCCACAACCCATTAAATATTTACAATGTGCAACAAGACGATGATCACAGAAGTAGAGATAATAAATTATGAAAATGACAACACGATACTCAGCAGATCCACTGCTAAGAAAGCAATTAAAACTGTTACATGATCAAAGGTTGCCCTGCCACAGGAGAGCTAAGCTAAGTTAATGAAGAACTGGATGGCAACCACATTTCAGGATTTGCAAGGTAAAACAACTTGGATTAGTAAAAATATTAAGATTTTTTTCAGTTCTCACTGCCTAGCTATATTTGAGTGATGTAGAAAGTTCAAGCAGATACTTTCTTTTTCCCTTTGTTTGGGAAGAGAATATAGTGGAGTCCATAAATTGACCTCTAATATACCAAGCTTTTGTAACACCTTTTAGCATGGAAAATGTTAACTATTTCGGTGCAGCAAATCCCTTCAGTTCTGTAGTTCACAGTTACCCTATTTTTCCAGCTATCTTCTACTACTTCAAAGAAAAGTGTTAAGAATGAATTTCTGAGGAGTTCAAGTCTAAACATGTTAATTATGTTGATATCTTCCCATTTGTCTTATTCCACCTTTGAGATTAGCACAGTCCCCTGCAACAGAATATTCTGCAAATCACATCATCTTCCCCTGGCAATTTTGTAAGTCTGACAAGGTTTTACAAGCAATATACCAAGTCTTTTTAGACATTCCCATCAAACTTCTAATTTGTGACTGGAACAAGCTTTTAGATTACTACGGCCAAGTCAGCGGTACTGTGAAGATATGAATGGTACTGGGTACACCTCTAAAGTAATGCTATGCTTAAACTGTAATAAACACAGAGCATGATTTCCTATTTCCACAATAAAATTAATCATGATCGACACCTGTGTATTTGGTGGTAATGAGCAGAGAACCACACACACTGAATCTAAGCAAATTCATCTCAAGAATGAACTGTGGCGTCACTATATTCAGTATGGCTGGAGAAGTTTCTGATAGAAAAGATCAGCAAGTTGATCCACATAATGGCCATTAGTCCCTAAATAAACAGTTCAAAGAACTATTAATGAATAAAAATACAATCGATGCCTGATTTCTGTCCTGATAGTAGCTTGATAACAGCAATCAATTCAACATCATGTTTTGAGTTTTCTGTGAATTCTTTATCATTTGAGTATTCAGATTTATTTAAATGTACAATTTAAATATGAATAGGCTACAAACTTAGATTATGTTTGAAAAAAAACATCCGCTGCTTGTTTTTTCTTCTTTTAAACTGAAATATGAAACATCCCCTTAGCGTCCTCTCCCATCCAGAGAGACAGAACCCTGTGCTGGACACACCTCTGAGAAATCCTCAGACATCCTTACTGGAACAGGTTAATTCCACAAATCTCAGTGTTAGTCTACTAAGTATTCACCATTTTCATTCATGTGTTAAAATAAGAGATGTCTAGAGATAAACAGCTAGGATGAGATGAAAGCTAGATGGACGGCTTTAATGCTGAGTAACTGGAAGACACAGGAATATGGTTTGCATGATCTGATCTGAGTCAATCCAAATCAAAATCAATCCTCATCAAGGAATAAAGAAAGTGGAAAACACCTATACAAAGGCAGATCGTGTCCTGAAAAGCAAGAATTCTGAAAAGGATTTAGGGGTTACTTCAGAGGACAAGTATCTCAGTATCAGTTTTGAAGGAGTATGAAATAATTAAGGCCACTTAGACAATCCGATGGAACAAAACAGACAAGTAGGAAGCAGCAAACAGTTTTTAACTCTGTACGGAGAACAAATACTAAAATGTTATGTATAGCTGCGGAGAATATTTTATGAAGAAGCAGCAGAAGCTGAAAAAGATACATACATAAAATTATCCAATACCTATAATTAATGCATTGCAGTGAGATTGAATATTCAACTTGTTTTGGTGTTGTGTTAGAGAGCTATGACTTGGATGCATGCATCTCCATAGGAAAATACACAATGTTTTAATACACCTAGAATCTAAACTCTGAGTGTCCAACCAGAAGAGCAAGCAGCACTTGCCTGTTGACGTTCTTTCACGGAACTCCTCAAGCTTCATCAGAGTTGCTGATGTCAATTGCTCTAAATGCACATCTTTAGGAGGCCTGAAGAAATCCACCAAGCTATTTACTGTCATCTGTTAAAATAATACAAAAACATAACATGGTAAATTTACTGTTAAGTAAGATTTTTCAAGATGTATACCTCATTCAAATATTTACTTACTGCATCGTACACTATTTCCAGTGGCTGGGATTCTATTCTAAGTCTCTGATCTGCTTTCTCATCCAAAGGGTTAGTCTCAAACATTATGCTTAAAAGTGAGGTACTCTTGTCCGAGTAGACCGTTCGAGAAGACAGGAGACAGGGTGTACATTTGTCTCGGGACATGCCTGTAACCTCAAGGGAGGTAATTTTTGTTTCGAATCTGTAAAGCAAGGTAAACAGCATGTTCAGACATAAGATCCATGCAGCCAGGTACAATTAGATGGTTAGAGTACAAGGAATGAGCTGTTAAAAAAAAAAGTCAAAACCAACACACAAACCAGTAAAACACATCTCTGAATAGCGTACAAATTGAAAGAGGGGAAATTTAGGTTAGATGTTAGGAAAAAGGGTTTTCCTGTGAGGGTGGTGAGACACTGGCCTAGGTTGCCCAGGGAGGCTGTGGCTGCCCCAACCTTGGCAGTGTTCACAGCCAGGTTGGATGAGCCTTGAGCAACCTGCTCTGGTGGGAGGTGTCCCTGCCCAGGGCAGGGGTTGGGGCTGGATGATCTGTAAGGTTCATTCCAACCCCTAATATTCTATGATTCTATGATCTCTACCCTACCTTAAATATAAAGAGCTTACTCTAAGGATATAACATTTATATCCATTTCATTGTCTTTTCTATCAGCCACCCCTAACTAAACAAGAAAGGAGGTCTAAATTATTCCCCTCATAACTTTTCATTCAGACAGGTGTCAGGGCAGGGAAGAGACACATGAATGGGAATTCTGCAGTATGTGCTCAGGAATCAGATGGTATAGTTGATACTGGGAAACAGACATACAGCAGAGAGGAAAGGGTTTCAGTGCAGAGAAATAAAAGGAACAAAGATAAATAGTCTCATTACTCTGAGGATGTACTTTTTAAGTTTGGATTTTTTCCAATACTCTGTCCACCTCTTCAGCAGCTCAGTTTAAGATCTTTATCTCCCAACACTCAAAAGAAAAATATTTCACTGTAAAAATGTAGGGTTTTCTTCCCTTTTTCTTAGTATGACAGCATTATTAGGGCCATTTAGATGCAAAGGGGTATAAACTGAAGCTGCAAGATAAACTTCAGAAAAATTACACAAAAAACTTGTCAAGATCAATAGTATCTTACTATAATACATAGATTATAGTGGTATGCCTCAAAACAGTGGGGACAAGGTTCAAAACAGGAAGGTTACACTCCCCCAGAGCTTTTAAAGTCATTACATTTAAATGAAGTTAAAATATTTCAGTAGGTGCTTTTCATCATCTACTGTAAGAGAACAAAACAAAGCAAAAATCATCAGTTACAGCTTTCTTCCACAAATCTAAAAGTGAACTGAGAACTCAGTAACTTCTCAGCTTTGCTGAGCCACTTCTCAGCCATGCTGAAATTCAGATTAGATGTTAGGAAAATTTTTTTCACTAATAAGGTGGTCAGGCACTAGAATAGGTTACTCAGGGAGGTGGTGGAGTCACCATCCCTGGAAGTATTTAAGAGGCTCTGGAACTGGTGCTGGAGGGTATGGTTTAGAGTTTAGTGGTTACAGCAGAGTGGCAGATAATGGGTGATGATTCTCTGATTCTACAAAATGCCTGCACACAAGTGGTTGAGAGACTACCTTGCTCAGATTAAGTTTCAAAAGGAGTAACAGTCACTTTTCAAAGCAAGTAACAAGTTAGCAACTGTGTTGCTTGCACTTAACAATAACAAACTGAAAAAAAAAAAAGGAGAAACTCTGTATCGACACAAAAAGTGCTGAAGATGCAGAGAACTCAATCATGGAAACAGTATCCATGACCCATCCATCAGTTGCAGGATGATTTCACTCCTAAATTGCACATGAAAGGACAGTGAAAAACGGAACATAAAGACCATAACAGAGTCTTAAAATGCCTATTAGTCAACACCAGCATTTCATGAGCAGGAAAAACAGTTTGACAGAGAAAGTTCACCTTATTGCCTGTGCACCTGGTCGTTGGGTAAATACTGTACTCAGGCCAGTTAATGCAAATTCTACCAGCTCAGGAGTTTGCTTGTTTTCTCTTATTGATATATGCATGCTTAATAGCTTCACAGAGAACTTCATGGCTTCATACTAGATAGGCAGGAAAAACAACAACATTGGATTATAAAATATGTTAATATACATTTTCATAGTTTATGATGAGATGAAACCTACAAATAACAGTTCAAAACTATTTTTCTCACACTATTAATAGCTTGTATCACAGCTGGCGTAAAAGTCATTCCCATATAGTTAATACAAAGAGGCAGGGCTAGTGTAAGAGTAGACCATCCTTACAAACATGTATCTGTGAGGTCGCTACACTTTTGTGACAAAGACCCTCTGATGTAGAGCTGCAGAGTAGTCCATTGTTTTGTCCTTGGTAGTTCAGACAAAGATGACCACATCACATCATGTGAGACTTTCTGAACAGTTCAAAATGCTGCTCATCCCCATTACAGTGCTTCAATCATCTCTTTCCTTATATAACCACCTATTCTAACTCATCTCCTATCACTCATGTTTTAGATTCCAGTGAATCCCTTTAGTGCATTTTCTTTAAAATCTTCTGAATATTTTAAGACAATATATGAAGCTCTTAAATACTTAAAACATGGACACACTATATATGTGATTTTATTCCAGCTATAGAAAGAAAACTTTACTTCTGAACTTATTCAGAAAATCCAAAGTAAGCTTATAACCACTATCCTGAGACTACAGCTAAGGATGCTCTGTTCTGCACAAAGCCAGATGCAGTAACTTAACTAGAAAGCATTCAAATATAGAGACAGAGCTTCAAGTAATTGTAAGTGATTTCCTATCACCTTTAGATTTTTATTAGCTGATAAAGCTCCTAAATGTTTGGTATCCTAGTCAGTTAGGACTTACTGATTTTGGAAGGGTTGGATCCACAGCTGTTTCACTATATCCAATTGCTGCATAAAGCTTAGCCTTCTCTTCATTTGTCATCAGCTCCTCAAGACCTGTCACATTGCAGGAGGTTAGTTAAACTCAATATAGTTATCTGAAAAATGCAAACACTATTACACACTTTTCAGTGCAGTAGATACTGTTAACATTGTCCTGAATTAGTAAAAGCAAACACCCTGAGGTTCAAAGCACAGTCTCATGTATTCTGAAGTATGATTTCAAATGCTGTTTCACTTTTATTCTGACCTATTTTATTTCCTAGCTTGCTAACAACAGAAACAACCATTTTGATTTACTTTCCATGATCCATAACCTTTACTAGATGCCCTGTACATAAGTGAATCATTACACACTGCAAGAAATTGACAAATTTTAAAATTAATGGAAGTAAAATGGTTTGCATTCCATTAACTTCTACTGTTTTCTAGCACTTTGTTCAACTCTTCATACACAGTACACTGCAAAAACTGGGGCAGGAGAAACCACATATTGGAGACAGTTCAGAAAGAACTATGGAAGGGATTGCACAATACCTCTGTTACATGCAATTAACAACCTCATGTAATGAAGAAATTAAAACGGAAGTATGAAAAGGTGAACAGCAATAATCTGATAACAAACACTGAGTTCTACTCCTAGGGACCTATTCTTCTAATAAATAATTACTAATAATAGAGAAAAAGCCAAATAAATGATCATACTTGAACCCTTTACTTCTTGCTTTTGTTCATCCTTCTTTTCACCTGACCAGCTCCATATCCAGCTAAACCAGCCACCAGAATTTTCATCATCTTGTTTTACTCCTGGTCTGTAGATTTTTAATCCAGCTTTAGTTGCCTTAAATTTAAAAGATACTCAGGTAAGTAACTTTCTTCCTGCTTCTTCATTTTCTTACGAAAAATATAGACCCAAGGCAGTCCTAACACAGCAAAACATCATTAGACAATACTAAAAAGGCAGTGTTATTTTTTAGCATTCCTTGTAGTAACTTTTTACAGCTCACAGTGCATCAGACCAATTCCATTTTGCATAAAAACAAACACCTTTATGAACAAAGAGAGTACGTAAAAGGTCAATAAGTGTTTCTGACATAGCAGATTTTCCCCTCTAGCTTCCACCACTGAAAAAAATCCAGAGTATTACATCGTGCTTTAACATTACAACAATGACTTTTTAAAGAATCATTTAAAATATATATATGTAAGCAATTAAAGAGCAGGCACAGACCAAATTTTAAATTAGCCCTGTATTTTTCATTTCAAGATATATGTCCAAAGCAATTAAAAGAAAACAATTACTCTTGTAATACAGTATTTACTGTAAGGAAAACAGAAGACTATTCCTGGCTCTAATACAAATAGCTGTAACAGTAAGGAAGCCTTCCCTTCTCTCACATTACTTCCACAACTAGGCAATGCCTTGTCTGATATCAATGATGATAGGAATCCTTTCTCAGCATTCCAAAAAACCCAAGATCTGTGCAGCACAATTATGGAAAACAGCTGGCTATAAATCAGAACGTTTTAGAGACATGTCACATCCATACACATACAGGCCAACAGAAGGCAGGACTCATCACAAAACCCTAAAGGCTTCTGAATTGACACTATTGATTCACCTCAGAAAGATGATGCAGAATGTCAGCTAAACAACACAAAGCCTCAAAAAGTCTGATCAAAGTCCTCAAAACTCCTCTTTATAAAGGATGCCAAGTCATCAAGCAGGTATTACAGAGTGAACAGTCCAAGGAAAAAAATGGACAGAGCCATACATAAAAGGGCTGTTAAACCTGTGAAATTACATGTTTCTGGGACACAAGGGGTTGGGTGTTGTTGAAGGACAACTGCCATAAAGAATGGAAACTGGTGCTTAAAAGCAATGACTCCTAACATGCCTGAGGCAGCAGCAGGCACTGGAGTCCAGGGCAAGACTACAGACACAAGGCAGAGAAACTAGATTGAAAGCAGAAAATTTCTCAAGCTATCTGATACAGACTTGATGTTTGGCTCACTAAAGCTCCTGTTTGGTACTTAGGGCACTGGTGATAAAGAACAAAAAGTGGCCTGAGGTTTGGAATATAAAGTTCTTGCAACGAAGTTGCCACAAAATCAGATAGCACTCATTTTATGTATGTGAATCACAAATGGGATTTCTGGGGAGCTTGATTTCAAGGTCTAGATAAAAGTAAGCCCTTGAAATTCAACTCTTAGGTATGTTTTTTAAAAACAGAAAAGCTTTGCTAACAGATGGATAATTTATCTGTCTTTACTCAGCCCATATCTAAAGGGTGCTCCCCTAAATACCTAGCAGACTTTAGGCTGTCAGGATACCATGCTAGTAGTAAATTTGCCTCTTATAAGTCCTTTAAATCCTTTTTCAGAGGCATCACCTGATAACAATAAGACAGATGAGTTCTGACAGATAGAGAGAGAACACAGCTCAGAATCACTGTGACCTCATTTTCAATACTCTGAATTCAGAGAATCAGCTAACAGATCTTTCAAGATGTTCTTCTAACACTTTTCAAATGCAAGGCTTACAGCCCAAACAAATAAAAATTCATTTGCTAGCAACCTACTTCTAAGCATTACAGAAACCTATCTTCAAACTCAGGATCTGAAAGCAGTCAGCAGTGCAATATGACATAACTTTTGTAAGCAGCATAGTCACACTGAGCAAAAGATAAAACTAGATAGGAAACACTTTAAGATCTCCCTCGCCTTGCAAAAATGTGGAGAAAAACACAGAAGAAAGAGAAACTATACAGTACATGATAAAAATATTCCGAAATCAAATAAGAACTAAATCAAAACAAAAAAACCTCCTTGTGAAAAACACTGCAGTTCAGCCAAACAGCCGAAGTGGCGGGTCATGAATGTGCCTTCTGGTTCTGTAAAAGTCTAGATAATGGTGGCACAAGCATACAAACTTGTACACACAGAACTGGAAAGAAGAATATCACATTTATGGATTCCTCCTTAGAGTTTTGGGTTAGAAGCACAGTATCTATTACTGCAGCAATCATATTCATACTATATTTAACTTACTACACACACAGAAAAATATCAAACTGCTTTCAACCACTGCTATAAGCAATAACTGATGCTCATGAGGTTCAATTATTAACTTCCTATTCTGCTTACTTTTTGTCACACTGATATTAATGGAGAAAGATCACAGATTCCAGAAAAACTATGAGCATTTCACTTCAATGTCATGGAATGATGTACAGACACCACACTGAAAACTAAGCAGTGCATTAACCTAGGATAACTGAGGGCAACAAATTAAGTGTAACTACTCAAGCCACATTATCTTGCCTAATTGTGATATTCTGTGTTTACTGTATTCTGAGTAACATTTGCAAATAGTAACATTGCATCTCTTTGCAAAGAATAAATATACTCCAAGTGTTCAGCCTACATAATACAGTCTCACGAAGCAAAAGAATAGACTAATAGCCTAAGCTGCCTGTGGGTGGAGGGAGAGACCATGACACTTTGGGTATATTTGCTCCCAATCTGACTTCTACCATCCTTTGACCATATTCTCCACTGTAGATCTCCCTCACCAGAAGTGGAAAAAATTTATCCCAGATCAGTTATTCTGAAGAAGCAGTATATAGAGCTATTTAATTTTTGCTTAATTACAAGCTGAAACTAACTATGCCTTAAAATAACAAATATGAAATACAAGGAAAAGTGAGAGACTCCATGATAAACAATTCAACCACTAGACTTAAAAAGCATCTGCCTAAAATCTCCACAACCTCGTGTTTCAGTTATTCTTAGACTCATTTAAATGATGAAATTTTACCTCAACTTCTGCTTGTTGCCTTGCTAGAGTGATGTTAAAAATATCCAAGGTCTTTTCGAAGTCCTAGAAAGGAAGGGAGAAATTATTTTTTGACAATTTCATTTTGCTACATTTCACAGCTCAGTTCTGCAGGAAATGACAGTAAACAATTCAGTTCATGCAACCCATGCTAATTTGCTCAATCTGAACACTTAAACCTGGAAGAGAAAAGCACATCAGTTCAAGCTATTTTCCCCTGCAGTTTCTTATTTAAAAGATTACCTCATGTTTGTTAATGCTACTCACAGAGAAAGGCAGTGATGAGCTTGCAAGTCTGGCCACTGAAAACTTTACCTTAGAACCAACTTAGGAACACAAACATCTAAGCAAATATCAAGAAAAACAATAACTAGTCCTTTAACGAAAAATTACTAACCTCCAACACTTTTAAGATTTCTTCACTAGGTTTTTTTGATGTTATCTTTGTTTTATACAACTCTTTATAGTTCTTCACTTGCTTCCTATGGTTCCAAATATGTTCCCATGACCACATCTGGAGCTTAGGTTGAACATTTACTTCAAGGATGCCATAAATAACATATTTCCACCTAAAAGCAAAGATAAATGAAGTACAGTTTACATGTCTATTGGCAAATTGAAAAGACTCCCTAAAGCTCAACAGACTCTTTAAGTTGTAAAGAGTGAAATGCCTTGCCTAATACTGCACTTCTCATCAGCTGAGGAACCTAAGGATTTTACTTATTTTCCCACACAAAGTTGATAGGTTGCTGTTTCCTAAAACAAGAAGGTAATCCTGTATGAAAAGCACCCACAAATCTATGCATGCACAAGTGAGAATAATCAAAACATATTTGTAAGAAATCTTCTGAAAAGCAATCACATCTCTGCCATCTGTGTTGAAAAGGTCTGCCTATTTTTAGACAATAGTTATGCTCTTGTAATGGTATCTAACATATAGCAGGGGACCTTCATTAAAAGAGAATCAGGATATTAAAGTACTATCAGACTTAAGTTCCTGATAATAGTCTGTAAGACAGCAAACACAGGCTTTCAGATATTGCATCCTCAGCTTTGGTTTGAGGTTGCCATCAATTTCTTGTAATACTAGCTTAAAAAAAACAAATAAAAACAGAAGCTTAGACTTCCTCTCAGAAGGAAACGAGCCCCAACCTCTAAGTAAGAAACTAGTCCTTAGCAATTAGTTCAAATTAATAACTAACAAATGATTTTCAAAGTCTAAAGTTGCCTACCATGTCTTGGCATTGTTGTGCACTGGAACATCAGGTCTGTACTTCCTGTACGGCAGATTTCGAGTCATCATATCAATAGACTCAAGAAGCTCCACAACACTGAAGTACTAAGCAAACAAATTCAAACAGTGTTACTGTCGTTCTGAGAACATGCATCAGGCTTCTCTTTAAAGATAAAAATCAGTTACAAAGAAAAACAAGTCTAAGAAGTGAACAGAGTCTGTATGTTCACGACAAAATTTCAGACTGCTTTTCTTATGCTTGCAAACTAGTATTTTACCACATTACTTACAACTTCAAAAAAACAGACTATACCTGAGGCTTATTGAATTCAACAGTTATATCCTGTAAGTTTACATCTAAATCCATTTTCGGTGATGAAAAGTCAACATCAGATCGAGGATTCATAAGGAGTTTGGCTCTAGCTGAAATTGGGCGGAATACTAAAAAACAGAAGTTGATATAAAAAGTGCGATTAGATTATTGAAGATTATCATAAATACAATAGGTACAAGTATACTTACCTTAAGTTATGCCAGATTATTATTTTCAAAATGCTAGACTGCAGAACATGAAGAACTTCATCAACACATCTTAAAATATAATACAATCTACAGCCAATTTTTGGGTTCACTCTGGCACCATTTGTGTAACTAATGTTTGCTGAACATTTTTATGAATCATCCTGCATGCAGTATTACATGCAGATGATTCAATTAATAGTTTAAATTCATAAGAAAACTAATTTTTCGGCTATGATATAGGCTATTTATAGTACAAGACACTTCCAATCATAGCACATATTTCATACAGTAACTCTTATTCCACAAGGTTGTTGTGAGGGTTTTTTTGTTACTGATGCTTTACTGTTTCATAAATTATACTCACAACAGTGGGTAAACCCAAACACTCTGTATTTTTAAGTCCAAGCCTGAGTACGCATGAAAAAAAAAAAACAGTAACAGGGAGGCACATCACAAGGAAAAAATATCTGATTTATCTGTTCCACAGTTTGGCAATATCAGGTATTCAAATCCATGTTTAGTTCAATGTTTTCATCTGTTTCAGAAATTGACTGAGCAATAAGAATCTGTATATTACTTGAATTTATATAAAATGTACTTTTACCAAGTAGAATTTCTCTGATATCAACAGAAATACTGATGGACTATCTACATACCAAATATTCCAAATTCTCTGAAAGATTCATACAAGTGGAAATAGGCATTTTTGCAACATGAAACCATGTCTATGTCAAATTACCTTTGTTTCATTTTAAGCCCAAGATTTCTTGTGAAGCTTATCTTACTTTTATCTACACACACTATATGGCAGCTTCTTATATGTAACTAATATATCTGCGTTTACATCAAGTGACAGAATCAGACTTCGCATTTATTACCTTTCTATCAGTGTCACAATCTAAAGAGCTGCCCTAAGAGAGACAGAATTTTCATCCACCACAGAATACCACCATGCTTTGCATCTCTGATGGCACTGCTGAATTTTAAGAGTGTAAATCCTGAAACCTACAATTTCACATCAAACCATTTTGAACTTACTACATAAAGACTTAGACAACACCTATTTGCTTGTAAAAGGAGTCAAAGCTAGCGACTGAAAGAGAGGGGTAGTAAATCAGAAGAAATGATTAAATAGTTCTCTAGCAGACCAATAGAGACACAAAAGTTTTCCTCTCTCAGGGAAAAGCATCAAGAAAAGCCCATAAGACCAACAGTACACTTTTGAACCCTGGTTATAGTGAAATACACTTTCTTGCTGGAGAACAAAACACTTCAACAGCCATTCAGCCTTGTGAACAGTTTCTAAACAATCACACCGCTGCACAGGAGAAAAACAAACCATGTATTTTCTGTACAATGACAAGTACACTATGACCATGTTTGAGTGATTCCAATATGACTTTGACAGAAGAAAGCAATACAACTTGCAATATTGCAACACTAAAAAAAAAAAGTGAAATCAAAATGTTGATGTTTCAAAATCGTGTGAGAACTGTTTACACCTCCAGTGAAAAGAGAGAGACAGACCTCACATACAGCAGGTGACCTCAAAAGCATACTCAAACCAATCTGATAAACAAAACTTACACAGTGCACATATTATTAATAAACTTCTTAAATAAGGAATAATCAACAGATGTTAATAATGAGGATTTATTCCACTAAACTGCACTAAGATAGCTGAATAACACCTGAAGTAGACTGAGAGACTCTGAGAGACACTGAAACATAGAATTACATATGCACAGTACAAATAAAATATCACTTACCAAAATCATACCCATCTGGAATCACATTGTGGCTGGCAACTCCCTGTTTTAAGTTCACCTACATATGCAATGAAGTTAAGAGTAAGTCGCATTTTTATTTCCAAAGTTTTAAAGTACAAAATGCTAGCACTTTAATACAGCTCTCAGATAACCCCTCTGATACACAGTACAACTCAAAACACTCATCTATGCTCCAAACAGAAAAAGATGTCCATTTTTAGTTAACAAAAATCACTGAATAGTGGTAAAATGACCATAAATTGTATACATTTTGTAACTGGCAAAAGACTTCAGTTTTTTTAAGCTTCCTCGGATGGGGGCTGCACTTCCATCACATACATGCCTTAATACGTACTACGTTTTCCTAAAAGCACTTCATTACAAACAATTCTCTGGGACACTGACATAAATGGAAGCAGAACTGAACATAAAGCACGTTCTACATTTCCCAGTTCCAACTAGAATCCTAGATACATTACCTCGTGCTTTACTTACCAATGATTCATCACGACTACCATGGTAGAACATCTCTGATTTCACATTCCAGTAAGCAAAGAGGTTATCCAGTCGTACAAGCTGAAAACACAAAAGTACATATGTATTGATATAAACAAGTTTTAGATTAATAATACAGATTTCACAAAGTCTGGATCAATAAAAATATGCAGTGTTACTTGCAGACTATACATTCTTTTATTTTGAAGCCTACAGAGTTACATATTTTCTTGATATCACTTTCTGTGCAAGAAAACTCTAATGCAGCCTGTTTTATCAACATTTCTTTCCTTAGCTCACAATTTACACTGTACCTTGTAGAACAACTTGGCAGTTTCATCATGTAAACATGGATTCCAATTCTTATCTGAGGTCTGAAATGAGAATTAAAGAAAGTTAATCCAGTATCTACTATATAACAACATGTTGCCATCCCTGAAACAAGCCAGAAAAAAGAGGAACATCATCCTCATTAAACCCCATGGGAAATAATGAGATACCATCTTTTTGACTTAAGATGATTAAGGCACTGTTTGAAGTGAAGACTTGGTAATGCTACTTCCCCAAAAAATATATACTGATTAGTAGGCTGCACACAAGAACCAAAGATACTATAAAATTCTGTTTTCAGTATTGCAAACTGTTTTCTTTTACATCAATATTATTTTTGGCTAAACAGGGGATTGAATCCTTTTATAATTCTGGGAGTAATTAATTCCAGTTTGAGCTCAAAGAAAACTCTTCAGTGTGATAGGAATGAGCATTCATGGGACAACCATTTCAAGAAAGTAGTATATACCCAGACATATTTTCTTTTAGATTAATAATTACAAAGCAAAAGCTACTGAATCAGAGCAACTCAGCACAATCACTGTATTGCTGCTACGAGATAGCTTTCCAGAAAAAACAATTCATACAGTCTCTGATGACTCTCTTAGCTTGCAGACCAAAAAACTGAGGTCCAGTTTGGAAAAAAAGATGCCATCCTCTTTGTCTCACCATACCCCATTATCAAGTAGTGATTTCCTTTCTTGGAGCTCAAGGCAGTTACAGTAGAATATTCATAAATTCTGAATAGCCCAAATCCAGCAAAGTGGATTGGCAACCACCAAGTGCAGCAGGCAGAAGAATCAAAATTTTCTGCTAAAGATCTGTTTAAAAGCTAGCAGTTCACCTTTAATGGCACATGCACCACAATATTAATGTTGAATTTGATAAACCAAGTAGTTACCACTGTGCACTACTGACTGTAGGTACACTCTCCTTAGACAGTATGTTAACAGAAAGCACAACACACAAAAATGTAACTTAGACTACTGGTATACATCAACATGCTTCTTAGATATATGATGAAAAATGAAATTACCTGCAAACTTAGATTCTGAAGTGAAATCCCAAACGACAAGGGATTATTCCGATTTGTGATCTAATACAGGAGGGGGAAAATACCAAAAGAAGGTTATTTTATACTCTATAAGCATATAGTTGGCTAAGAACTGAAATACCTTTATGTTTTAGTATAAGCTTTTATCAGGGTTTTTTGGGGTTTTTTTGGGGGGGAGGATTTTTTTTAGTGGGTATTTTAGACTATGAAATTTCCAAAACTTTACTAGGATTCTCTCGACATGGAAAGCAGCTAGGAGAAAAGAAATCAGACAGGTTCCTAATTTCATGTTACAGTGCACAATCCCTTATGCTAAGATATATAGAAGTACTTACATCATCTTCATAGCGAATATGGATGTTGGAGATCTTCATCTGAAGATTTTTGATGACCTGAGTAACTAGTTTTTCTACAAAAGTGTCTTGCTTCTCTTCTTTTACTTTATCTAAATCAAAAGAAAATAATATTTTGGTTTTGTTTCCGTATTTTGAGGACTACACTAGGCAAAACAAAAACATCATAAAGTTTGCAGGATAAATGTTTGAATTTGATTACATTGTACTCTTAGTTGTATGAAAACATGTTCAGTCAGTACAATTTACAACATTTACATCCTCAGACTAGGAGGTTTCACAGCTTTATTACCTGCTACATGGAGAATCAGCTAGTTCAAAAGTATGAGTTGCACCCGCCAATACTCAAAGTGGCCAATACGTATTTCTTGGAAGTGCCAAAAGTTGAATTTAAAGATAAGACTTGACATGCGTCAAAGAACAAATTAAACAGAAGCTTTCAAAAGCTGTATTCATAGAAATGCTCTGCTACAGGAACAAAGCTAAATTGTTTCTTTCCTCTTCATTCGTAAGAAAATGTCATGCAATGTATGACACAAGCAGGATTTCAAAAGCCTTATTTATATCAGATCATGTCAGTGCTTGAACCTTTTTATTTTCAGGATGCCTGTTCTGCAGTAGTGATGGCAGCTACACCTAAAAAAATGTAACTATTAGGCTTTTAAGTACCAAGAGAAAAACAGGAATCTGAGACACTTTGGCAAGTCAGCGTATTTGTGGATTAAAATAAAGAAATAGCATCACTCATTATCATTTCATACTCTTACCTTGGTCAGCTATCTTCTGCTTTGCTTCCTCTATCCTTTGCAATTCCCTTTGTCTTGCTTCCAAGTGCTGCCTGGCTTCTTTTTCAGCATCATATTTTATGCCTAAATACACCAAGTAAAAACGTATGATACCAACAAAGCCTTACACATTTGTTTAGAGATGCTGTTTCAAATGCAGTAATTTTTACATTTTCTTAGTAGTTACATAACAGCAAAAAATTAGGTGATGAAATGCAAATTACTAAAAGGCATCCATTCCATCACCTAACTGTATTGCTGTATCAGCTCATTCCAGATACTTCTGAACTCTCACCAGTCTATATTCATTCTTTTCTCTACATTAACTTACTGGCTGTGGGCACAATAAGCAAATAAACTCCATCAAGAACAGCCTCGACAGGTTGAGTATAAAGGTTTTGCCATGGAATCTGTAGGTTAAGTTGACCTACGAAAACAAGAGAAAAAGGTTGAAGTATACAGTTAAATAGTTGCCTGGAAAAAAATTAGAAAGATAATCAACATTAAACACAATCTCTGAACAGTTATTATGCTGGACACAGAGATCCTGAGGTTACAGTGTCTCTCATTCTTCCAACAAGTGCCAATTTTAATAAAACATGAAAATCAGACACTGGGGAATACATATTTCCAAGGCAGATTTAAAGGAAGTGTAATGGGTTTAGACTTGCTTTATTTTTAAAAACCACTAACTTCTACAAGACAATCAACCTACAATGAGAAAACGTTTCATATTAGCAAAAACAAGGAAAGAGGATGGAAAGGAAAGTGAAAGGCAAAAATCAGTTGACGAGTCTTGTTAAGACAAGGAATGAGACCCAGTTCTGCCCAATTGCTCATCTTTGCTGTGTCTGGCTCTTTTCTCTTGAACATTGCAGTGATTAAACAAGACTCCAGTATTTTTTAGCTTTACCATCTCAGAACAGGAGCCTCTTCAAACGGGTTTTTTCAGAAGAGACAAACTTCAAAGCATACAAAGTATGCAAATCAAGGAACATAGGGAAATTACTTGCTTAGGATGCCTAGAGTCACTTGCAAAGAAAAACAATATATTTAGAAACTGCTGCACGGGTACATGATGGAATGTAACTTACCAATATGTCCTGCTTTAACTTTAAATGGCACATCCAGCTGACTCTGAAAGAAAGTGGCTCAATTCAGTAACTTGTTAAATGTTCCCATGCAGGAAAAGATATTATGATCATCTTAACAAATTTACCTTTCAAGCACTGAAACAAATTTCAATATAATAGATAAGCAAACATTTCACTACCTATTTAGACTGTTAAGCCATGCTAGGCTAAACACATTCCCAAGAGCAAGCTCCTAGCTTCATGAGCCATAGAAAAAGAAAGGCCTAATGGTATTGCTTTTGATGTAAACACATTCTTTTAGCAATTGCTGAGAGTGCTCTTTAGAAAAAAAAAAGCATACACTTTGATCTTTATATTTAATCTCATATTAATTAGATAATCTACACAGGTGCAGAGAAAACAAAACACTAAGTTTCCACGTACAAGACAGTGCACCCTACAGTAAGAATTTAAAAATGCACTTTAAACCTAAAGTGTTGTTCAGGAATCATTTTTGCAAGTTTTATTTTTATTATCACTATCTTACCAGTGCATTTTCTTTTATTTCCAGATTCTTCAGTGCTACAGCTCCTAAAAGAACAGAAGCCAGTAAGTAAAACTGCAATAAGCAAAGTCTGAGTCAGTGGGCTGTAGAAGCCCAGAAGGGGCTAATGTGTATTTCTCAAACACCAATGGCCACATAACCACAGAACCAACCAAGAATTGTTGGCAAAAACACACTGTGAGAAAGAACAGGATGCAGCACGAAAAGGGACCATATGTAGGTAGGGCAGAACTCTTCCGGGACAAAGGTCCATGTTCTGGCTTCTAGAGATAAGCACAACACAAGCACAGGAATGAGGTCAAGAAGCAGGCACTGACTGCCAACCAACGGACAAACCCGTAGAGAGGTATCAAGACCACCAAAGACTCCTTGAAGCCCTCTGATTCATTTCAGAAAGGTCTAGAATGAACTGTGCATGAGAACTAATTTGCACAGAAAACAGGAAACTGAGCTCCAGGGTGGGGAAACCCTAACTATAAAACGGTACCCCCACCAAGCCCCAGGACCCTGCCAACACTGCAGCCAGGACTGGTGATCTTTCTTCCCTTCTTTCTCTCCCTCTCTTTAATCTCTCTCTTCTCTTTCAACATATCCTTATTCAAAATTTACCATAGTGTGTTTATACTACAAGGGACTAACTTGTACCAGTTTCCATGCTGAGTGTATAATTTAACCATACAACTCTGTTAGGTTTTTACAGCACCTCTGACTTTTGTCATTCCTTTTTGACCACTGGCACCCTTGAACCTTGGATGATCCCTTCCCCTTCACGGTGGGATGCCACAGTGGTCCATGACCTGTACTTCTCAAACTCTTTGCTGTGAAAGATATTCATAACCTACACCTCAAATACCCATGAAGACCAGACTGTGCATTTATGCTACAGAATACTCCGAGATTTTCTCATGGTGCCTGCATGTCCATAGAAAAGAGCTTATGATTCCTCAATGCAAAAATGCTGCAAGGACCCATTTTGAAACTGAAAGTTTGCTTCTTTTCCCTCCACCATCTGCTTCCTATACTTGCAGAAATCTAGCAACATTAAATGTGAGTGAATTTTTCTTCCATTTCAAATTTTATTTATAGCCTTAAAAAAGTTCAGGGGAAGCATTTCAGTAATCTAATTTTTAAACGTCTTAGGACAAAAATTAAATTCAGTACACTATGAATGCAGAAATCTTGACCTGCAAGATCAGTTTTTACAATGTACTTGGCATCAGACACTTGCCATAACAAAGGAACATTGCAACGGACCAGAAAACTTGCAACTTAAAAAACATGCACGTAGCCTGAAGTGATGTCTTCTGCTAATTCTACAAGGATGGAGCTTCTGCAACGGTTACTTTCAAAATAGCTGTAGAGTGTTAACGAATGCACATGGAACAGACACCTGATACAGCTGCAGAGGGACACAAATGAGATTCAGGAAACCAGAAGCAGATTACAGGCCTGGAAAGGAATACAACTTGAGATTGCAAATGAAGATATAATTGGCCCAAAAATGCTTTCCTTTTGGGATTCGTGTTTGGGATTCAGGTAAGAAATAGCATCAGAGTTATACAGTGCTAATGACTCAAACAACTGCTCCAAGTACCACCAATTCTGGGCCCAAATCTCAAAAATGCATAGATTAAAAGAGTTGGCTCAAGTTGATGAACTGCTACGGAAAAGCCAAACAAGTAAAATAATTCATCAATCTTGTAGCATTTGCAAAACACCATGAAGTTTTTAATGCTTTAATTTATTCATTGCAACAGTCTATAATCACTTTCCTGTAGAATTCTATACATCTGACATGTGCTAACATCAGCCCCTGCAGAGAAATACTATATCCAAAAGGATGCTTTTCGATAGCTAGTGGCTCTGCTTTTAAGCCTTACAACATACACATATTGCCAGGAACAACTGAAAAGGAAGAACAAAACATAAGGCAAAGACAGCATTCCCAACAGCAGTCTACATCTACTCTAGTAAATATAACTACATAAGCCTTTGTAGGCAATAACGAGGTGGCAGCTTTATATACCACTGGGTTCAGTTCTATTCTAAATTCATTCCCTGATAAAGCTGAATCTGCAGAGACTATTTTAACACTAAAGAAACATAAAAAGCATTTGTTTCTCAAAAAAGGCATCACTAGTTGTAATTGTATTCACGGCAAATAACGGTATCCAGAGCAAAAGCTTCAGGTTTGTAACCATGTTACCAGCCATGACATGCAATTTCTGCACATCAGCTGAACCATGGTAAAAAAATTCACAGGCAAACAGTAAGACTACATGACACATGACGCAGTTTAACGGGGTTGAGTTTCTTCACTTTCACTCATGGCTAAGTAAACATTACCTCTCATTTATCAAGGGTCTGACACATGCCATGTTTCAGCTGAGGCACAGTAACTTAAGCCACAATAATTCGGCAGACCTGATGCTTCCAAAATTAAGGTACTGAAAAGTGAGTAAGGATTATCTTAAGCATTTACAAACAATAACTGGTGATGGCAGAACTATTTTTCATTTTACCTGAGCACATCATAATGGCAGAGAATAAACACAGTATCAATAATGTTTCAAACAAGAAGACTGACAAGTCTACATGAAATGCTGGTATTAAGAAATGGGGTAAATAATTCTTCACCGTTTTTTCTACACTTAGGATTTTACTATTAAGATGTTTCAGGTTTTACCTAAAATCATTAGAAGAGACAGACATGTTAAATCTCCAACCATCTCAATTTTAGTCTAAAATTACTGAAACACAGTTCACTAAAACATAAGTTTACTTACAAAAACCTTCATTGAGGTTGACTATCGAAGCATCCAAAAGGCTGCTACTGAGGCACTGCATTTTGTATATTTGTATATTTTTATCTGTATATAAGTGTAAATATTTGCATATTTATGCATCCTTTCTTAGAAGGTTGCAGTGCTTCTTTTCGAAGCACTGCATTTTGCATATTTATGCAACCTTTCACTTGAGAGAAAGTGCAAGAAAGGGACTGACTGAGTATTCCTGCAAGTAAACAGGAACTGTTTCCAAAGCCACCACACCTCGCAAAGCTTGCCACCAATTCTAACACTCAAGATTCCAAATGCAGTTACTCACCACATCAGTATTCTCTTTCATTGCCAAAATTTAGTCTCTATCACACTCAGCCATTTCACTTGCAATGAAACATAGATCCAAGTGCAATTAACTGAATCCTGACTGGGGTGGGAGGCAAAAAACCAAAAGCCCTCGCACACAGAAGGAGTGGAAACAGCAAACACTTGTTACAGGGCATAACACAGCTAATGAGTTTTACTGTCTTGGAGCACTGACAATGGATTTTAACTGCAAGGATTTCAAAATATATCAAGCTTTGATTGTATGCTTATGTTGCTGGCTGGTTAGAGGCTTTTGGCAGGGGTAGTGTTCCCCTGCTGGGAGCAAATTGGATGTTTTAATGATAGAAATGCATCCAATGCATGGTTAAAAATTACCCAACTTAGCAACCCTGAAACTGTATATACAAGTAGATGGAGCTGTATAAATACCCAGGGTTAAACATGCAGGCTAACAGCTAAAACAATAATAAACCCCAGAACATTTATAAATACCTATAGCACAGTCTATGATTTATTTAGGCTATACTATAAGCAAATTCTTAGCGTTACTGACCTCTGGACATTGTAAACAGTTCAACAAAACCAAACAGTTGTCAAAATTCTGGGATAAATTGGTTTATAGCTTTAATTTTAGATATTCAAAGTAACTTCATGAATTTGAGTGCACAAACCAGCATATACTACAAAGAATTTGGATCACAAAGAGAGATCTAGGAAATCAGTAAACTGTTTCACCAAAAAGGTCTAACCAAAATTTTGCAAACAGAAGTTAAAGAGAGGGAAGAAAATTAACTCACATAAAAATCTTGCAGACTGTACCTATGTATCAATCACTCTCTGCTGTCTTACAAATAAGAAGGGGTGGGAGGAAGGCAGGCGGATGAGAGAATGAGAGATGAAAGATCTGAAACCAGAAACACCTCAGCTTGTACCTGATCAGTACCCAACACTCAGAACTTCTGCATTTTACCAACAGCATTGTCAATTTGTGAATGCCTCTGATCACCCCGTACAAACAGCTGCCTTTGCCAGTTAATTCTCACTTGTGTTTGTGCTGCTAATTATTCTTGTTGAAGCATACCTTCTGGAGACAAGCTGCAAGTCTTTGAGGATCAGTGTCTGTCAAGCACCTCCTCTATTGACATCTATTGTAAAATAGGTCATGAAAGGCAGCAGAAACTACTAGATATTACTCCTCCCTCGAGTGACTATTAAGTAAGGGGTGGGGAGGTTACACCTGCTATACACTCGTACCTGCTATACACAGACAAGGCAAGGTATGCAGAAGTAATTGCCTTTTACTGCAATAATAGTTGTAGCAAAAGAAAAATGAAAGAAAGTAAAGAGAGTTTGTGTGCTCACATTATCTGCCTGCACCATCTTACTAACACGGCTGCCCCAATCAGAGACACCAGCTAGTCAAATAATAATAAGCTGTGTTAAGCAAGATATGCTTAAGACATTACCTAATAAGCAGGTGTGTCAAGTCGACACAGAGTTAAGTGTTTTAAAAGGCAGTACAAAGGATCTGAGCAAGACACTGAAAAGTTATTTAGATACAGTCAAAAGAAAATACTGGCTACATGAACTTCGCTGAAACAAATATTTGGTCTCTCAGTGATATCTGGAAGCCTCAATGGCACTTCACATCTTGTTGAAGACAACTGCATACATCTCATATTACTACACACAGTTTTTCAGGTATCGAAGTATAACTTTACTAGACCATTCAAAAATATCTAACTTACCTATATATTTACCTAACTTTTATCTAAGCCAAGTACTTGCATGCTTGTTAACACAGCTCTTTGAAACTATCTTTCTAAGTGAAGTCCAGAACAGGAGGTTTAAAACAGTGTCCTTCCCAGCATCAGCCATCCAACAGTCTTCTCTGAGGCTGCCTAACACAGGGGGCTTTT